AAAAACACTAAACTGGGGGCTGGAGAGATGGCTCAGAGGTTAAGAGCACTGACTGCTCTTCCAGAGGTCCTGAGTTCAATTCCCAGCAACCACATGGTGGCTCACAACCATCCACTATGAGATCTGGTGCCCTCTTCTGGTGTGCAGATATACATGGAAGCAGAATGTTGTATACATAATAAATAAAATCTTTAAAAAACAAAACAAAACAAAAAAACACTAAACTGGATGCCATAAAGGATTTGTTGGGTTAAAAAACAAGAAAAAAAATTAAATATATAAATAAAATAAAAAATTAAAAGCCCTGACATGACATTTTGAGACAAGGAATTTCCAAAGATGCCCTTGAGTTTATTTGCTGTTGGCCATCTACCTGGGCATGTGGTCTATCCTTAAGAATAGTTTGCTTCCCTAATGAGACTCCTGTGGTTATCAATTAGAGGTAGCTTCTATGTTAGTTCTGAAGTCATGTGTCCACTTCTCCCTTCAGCTCTAGAACCCATCTGGTACAGACCCTTGCATGCTGCCTCAGTCTCTGTGAGTTTATATGTGCTTCAGGCAGGCCTTCTGTGTTTAGAAGGCCTTGTTTCCTTGGTATTGCCTACCCTCACTGCCTCTTACAGTCTTTCTGTCTCTGCAGAGTTCCTTGAGCTCTGAGGGGAGGGATTTCATGGAGACATGTCATTTAGGATCGAGTGTCTCAAGGTCTTTCTTTCTCTGCACATTGTCCAATCAATTGTCTTCTCTTATTTATTTATTTATTTATTTATTTATTTATTTATTGCAGGGGGATATTTTGCTGATGATGGCTGATCAAGGCACTGATCTATGAGTAGAGCAGAATGTCATTAGAAGTCATTTTATTCCTATGTTCTTTTAGTAGAACAGTAGTAGTATTTGGTTTACCTAGGTCCCTGCACTATCTAGTCTCTGGTTCTTGGTTACCTAATCAGTGTCTAGTATGGGTTCCATCTTGTGGAGTGGGCATTAAGTCAAATCAGATATTGGTTTGTTGCTCCCACAAATTTTGTGCTTCCATTGCCTTAGCATATCCTATAGGCAGGACGTCATTGTAGATCAAAGGTCTTGTGGCTGGGTGTGTTTGTTTCTCCTTTGGTAGTATACAGAGTATCTTCCTGTACCAAAGACATTAATTAGCACATAGGGGTGAAGTCTCTATATAGGCACTAGCTTTATTTCCCCATGTTCAGTGAGTTGTGTAAGTGTTGTCTTCATCAACAGAGCCTTGGTGTCAATTTGTGGAGAGAAACCTGTAGGTTGGCAACAGCCTAGGTTATTTGGGGACTCCTATGGGACCCTGTAGGGGATGCTGTAGCCACGCCTGCTTAGGGGCTGGCTATAGGTGTGCCCTACAGGACCCCTTTTCTTAACACTTCAACTAGATGTAGCCCAATGCTAGTACTGGAAGCTTCATTTGGTGACCAGAGATGGCTAGTTGGGCCTCTGTCTCCTGATTATTTGGTGATTCCATTTATATTGCCTTCATATATGTATATACTTTGAGAAGTTTCTATTGTGTTTGTTTTCCATATTACCCTTCAAATGGCCCTTAATTTTAGCTGTCTCTCTCATATGCCTTCCCTCATCCTGCTCTCCCTCCCCCTCCCCATCTGATCATCCCATTCATGCATCTCCATCTACCCATAACAGTCTATTCTATTTACCTTTCTCAATGAGATCTATGACCCCCCACCCCCCAAGTCAGTGGCTGCACCTGAATCTAATGCTATTTCAGCCAGTAATTGTAGCTCTGCAGTTTTAACTAAATCTCTATTGTTCTACTTATCAATAAGACTCAGGAGTCAGAGGCTGGGGTGAAAATCTAGCTCAGAGAGACAGAAGAGCCACTAGCTGACCTTCCCTCTTCCCCAGTGTCTCAGAAAGAGCATCCTTCTGTTCTGTGAAACCAAAAAAAGACTGCCACACTCCAAGTCCCTCCTACTGCTTCCTGTGCATCTCTATCCATCTCCCAAACTCCTGACTCTCTATGATTACTTTCTTTCAACTAGTTGTTGGCTCTGCCTCCTTACTCAAGATCAATTTTATTTAATTAACTCGAACTCAGGGTTCACAGAGTGATCAAATATCCTACAGCCTCTTCCCCCAGTCCCTTATTCTCTACCTAACTCTGTGGTTCTATGGTTTGCAGCTTGGCTATCACTGACTTAACAGATTAAATACATATGTAAGTGACTACATAATATATTTTGTCTTTCTGTGTCTAGGTTACCTCACACAGGATAATTCTAGTTAAACCTGAAATGGCCATAATTTTTCCTTAGAACATTCTTTTATGAATCTTACTAGGTTTTAGGGCTGAATCAGCCTTTGTTCTCAGGGAGGGCAAACCCCTCTGTTCAAGATATATGAATCTCAAGATTTGGTTTGTTAACAGCTTTGTTGTATTTTTTAAGAGAAAATAATAATTTATTGCTCACAGTAATTAAAATTGTATATCTTTCTAAGTGATTTATTGTTTCTTAATATCAAATAAAATACACCACTTGCTTCTGTTCATGGTTTCTTGACCATTTCTTTATTTTTACCATACAAGACTTGTGCTACATTGAGACAATGAAGTGTAAAGTAGTCTGGTGATTAGGGGCATTCCTGATGAGAGGGCTTAAATATTCCCTAAATGACCTTATAAACAATTGTACCATCATTCTGACTTTGTTGTCCATTTGTGGAGCACAGCCAGAGCACATTTAGTATAGTTTAAAGAACCCCAGGATTTTCTAAACTGTAGGTGAGTACTGGCTTTTTGTTTAAAGTCAGCATCTACACTGACCCTAACAAGACAGCAGCCATTCTGGGCAAGCTTTGAAACCCAGAACTGACTTCTCCCTATCAGTAAAAGGCTTGGGATTCATCTTCTTCACTACTGTGTTTACACTGGGAATCTGCAATGTAGCCACCATCATGTTAACTAGATCGTCTACACTGCTGTGGTCCTAGATGAGACCTTGAACTTACACGTTTTAAAGATGGCCTCTTCCCTTAAAACTTCATGGACCAACACCAGCCAGCTTCAGACTTTCCTCACCTTCCTTGGTCACTGTAGAATTAAAACAAGTTAGGGGCTTATTCTGGACTAGGCTTTGGTTGTGAGAATGTGGCAGGTTGGAACTTCTATCTTTACCAGTGTTCTCTCTCTGTCTCTCTCTGTCTCTGTCTCTCTCTGTCTCTCTTTGTCTCTCTTTCTCTATCCCCCCCCCTCTCCTGTCTGGTTATCCCTGTGTTCACTAGAGTAGCACTTTTAATTCCCTTTAAGAACTTATCTTTCCCTTTACAATCTGGCTACCCATTTAGTTCTAGCTTTCTGCATACCTTCCTCACATTGTGTGTAATTGTTTCTGGCTTTTGATTTAAAATGAGAGAGAGATAAGTGATTTCCATTCACTTGAACAATTCAGGGCCATGTAGAACAATGAGTGGCCTAATTTCAGTATTGTGAACACAGGTAGGAAAGGAGGAGGGGGGAAAGGAAGAGTCCTGGTGGTGTCTGGTAAGCAGAATAGTCAGAGCCCACGTGACACCAGTTGTTTTGCTGTGTTATATATCACAGTTATTGGTGTTCTGAAGCATGTATAGCAACAACACACAGGTTACCAATCACATTATCACAATAGACATAATAATAAAAATTTGAAATATTAAAGCAGACAGAATTTTAATAGACATTTCATTGTATCTGTACTGTAGGTTTGTTGGAGTATTGCCACTTTATTGATTACCCCAGTCCAAAAACATGGGGCATTTTCCCATATAGTTAGGTCTTCAATTTTCTTTCTTTTTCTTTTTCTTTTTTTTCTTTCTTTTTCTTTTTCTTTTTCTTTCTTTCTTTTCTTTTTTTTTGGGGGGGGGTTTCAATACAAGGTTTCTCTGTGTAGCTTTGGAGCCTATCCTGGCACTCGCTCTGTAGACCAGGCTGCCCCTGTGTCCCAAGTGCTGGGATTAAAGGCTTGCACCACCCATGTCCAACAATTTTTTTTTTAAATTTCTTCATGTAGTTTGCTCATGTTTCCCCTTTCCCAACTCCTCCCAGCTTTTACCCACTCATTTTTATGCCCCCCAACAAATAAACAATCAGGAAACAAAAATAAAATTAACAATAGCATAAAACAAGAAAAAAAACAACAAAAAAGCCGACAAAAATGAAAATCAAAACAAAGAATGCCCTAATAAAAAGTCTATTAAAATACCATTGAGTTCATTTTATGTTGAGTAAGTACTCTTAGCATGGGACCTGCCCTGGATGTGGTTGATAGAGCCAGTGTAGGTGTTCAGTCTTTTTTAGTAATGTTTTAAGTTCTATGTATTGGATTTACAGAAGTTTTGTTACATGCTTTATTCTTTTTGTGGATTGTATGTTGGTGGTATGTGCAGTTAGTTTTTGCATATAGATATTATTTTAACAAGTTTTTGATGACACTTAAAAACTTTTAAGGAGGTAGACAACCATCAGGTGCTATTTTGCTGTTGTGAGTTTTGATCCAGAAATGCTGTTACTTAACATGGCATAAGATAAATATCTGAGCTTAACATTAGGAACTGGGGAGACAGATCAATCAGTGAAATGCTTGCTGTGTAAGCTTGAGTACCTGAGTTTAGTCACCAGAACACACATGAAAAGCCAGATGCAGTGCTTGTCATTCTCAGTGTTGGGGAAGTAGCCAGGCACATCCCTGAAGTTTGCTGGCCAGCCAGCCTGGCCTACAGTGCAAGCTCCAAGGCAGTGAAAGACTCTGTCTGAAAGAACAAGGTCTTGGTGTCTGAGAAATGATACTTCAGGTTGATCTCTGGCCTGTACACACATGTACACACAAGCATACACACATACAATAGATAAATATTTGAGCTTTAAGTCTAGTTTTCAGTTTTTAGGCCTTTAATCAATACATCAGCCACAGCTTCTCTTACCACAAAGAGATCTTAAGTAGTAAAAATCAGTATTTAATTTTCCCTTCCTCTTTCAGTGTTAAATGTTTGCAAAAGACAGTGAAGGACTCTTACCACATTATGTGTAGGCCATGTGCCTGTGAACTTGAAGTTTGTGCAAAATGTGGGAAGAAAGAAGACATCATTATTCCGTGAGTATTTCCTTCTATTTTGGAGTTTGTTTTTAGTAATTCATCTATGAGCTTTCTCTTAGGCAGCACTGTTACGATAAATCTTTCCACCATAAGCCACCGAGCCCCGCCGCCACATGTGTGCTCTACGCCAGCCGCCCGCCCAAGTTAGGCCCAAATGAATACACAGAAATTGTATTAGGTTCAAAGCTGCTTGGCCAATGACTAGGATTCCTCATCTGTTAGCTCAGTCTTAATTATCATAAATCTATATATTTTATAAGACTTATCTTATCGGATGCCTTATTGGCGTCCCTCCTTGTTGGTGATGTCATTGTGCCTTTGGAGCAGGAGTGGAGGGGAAAAAGAGGCCCTTCCTGTTTCTCCTTCACTTAAATATGAGTCTCCTTGCTATGTCACTTCCTGCCTGGATCAGCACTTCTCTACTACATTTCCCAGAATCCTCTTTGACTCCTAGTCTCGTCTAACTTGCTGTCTCATTGGCCAAACAGTATTTTATTTAACAATCGATAAGATAAACATACACAGAAGTACTTACCCCATCACAGCACTAACTCAGTTTAAACTTGTATATCTCTCACTAATACAAGCATTTTTTCTACATGACAGGAAAAGGGTCACATTTTTACTAAATTTTTCTATTAGAGTATAAAATGACATTTGTGTTTGGGAACATCAACTCTTTAGCTTCATATTCATTATGAAGAATGACTTATTTCATAGCAGTCTTCCTTCGTGGACTCCGTTTACTAACCCTGAGCCCACTCCTCCCACAGCAGTGTTAGAATCTGCTGGCTTGAGTGAATCTAGTCTTAAAAGAGGTTCTCTGTTTTGTTCTGTAGGTGCCTGATAGGAAGAAACTAGTAAAGGCTTTTTAAACCTCTACCACTAAATAGTGAAAGCCTAGGTAATAATTATAAACTTTTCTTCTTTTTCTTCTGTTTAGGTTTAATAAAGAACCTGAAACTTCAGTAAATACTGAAAATCAAGGTTCTAACCGCAGAAGAAGCTGCAGAGGGAAGGAGGACAGTGATGAGGATCTAGATGCTGGCACTGACTCGGATGACGACAATGGAGACTCTTAGGTGACCTGTCAGCACAGACTCAGCTGCAGAGGGCTCAGTGAACACACTGATGTCCTAATGAGGCAGTCAGAAAAGGCTCTTCAAAATAGGGAGAACTGACACATGAGCATTATAAGTTTTTTTTATAACTTTTGAACAACAGAAACTTTCAGGTTTTCACAATAAAACTTAAGCTGCTTATACAGAGTATGTGTGGAAGCTTACTGTGGCATGTTGTACAATCTATGGAAATTATTTAGAAAAACATACTATCTATTGTCACAGTTGAGAATTAGTGATTGTATCAGAACTTGAAAAATTAAGATGATTAGCTCACAGCGAGTACATTTCCATAGCCTGACTCAAGTGTGCGACTTCCTTAACAAAACTTTCTTATATCTTATAAAGCAAAACCATTTATTTTTACACACACACACACACACACACACACACACACACACACACACACACACACAGAGATAT